AGAACACCTGACTGGAATCAAAAACATCCTCAGGAAATCATGGATTCCAACAGTCTTTGATAAAAGGCTTGCTGGCTTTCATTGCAAACAGATACATCACTAAATGGCACTACTGTTAAAAGTAAGGAACACTCATCTAAGCAATTTCCTATTGCGATTCCTGGAAAAACATTTTCTGCAATTGCAAGCCTGCTAGAGATACTTCAGTATTGACGTGATAATGTGATGATGCTCACATGCATCCATTCCAGAGCACTAATAGTAATCTATACAGAAGGAAAAAGGATTGATGGAATTTGGAATATCCTTGTMTCCTTGTGTAGTGGACTTATTGCATTGTCATTCACAAATAGAATCTTGACATATGTGAGGAATTCTGAGAAAACATTATAACAGCAACATAAAAGTCCTCAGGCAAATAGTAATAATCAGAAAACATGGGTACAAATGCTCTGTTATGGTGCACACTTTGAAAACTAAATCCTCCCCAGATAGAATTTGAAGACTCCACATCAGAGAGGTTTCACTGACTTCAATATGAGCATTTTTGTTCAATAACTTGTTCTTTTTTCAAGTGATTTGTGTGAGGCTCCAACAGATTCAAAGTAAAATGTAGTTCAAATTATTGATTACTYGTTGAGTGTGTGCCATTATAAACAMGTGACAGACTTCAAAYTAAAATACGGAAACACGTCATTGGTCATAGATACCAGCCTTTAATAAAAACAATCCCGTTAGAATGGACAGTAACTTCACAAATTATTTTTGCCATACTGTTGTGCAGTAAACAGCGATACACTGTGCACTTCCTATGGCTTGAAAATGATTAATTAACATAACACATCAATGTATTGCCTTATGCACAAACAGCTGTTCCTACACTTTGCAGATGGATGCACTTAGAGTTCTATCATTCATGTTATACACCACTCACTAGGGGTTATCTGAAAATGTCAAGGTGCAAAAATAATAAATACTCTTAACAGAACATCARGGTAACTCTGGTTTAAGATTAAAAGTCTTGAGATTAAATTTCACATACTGCTCTTACAGGCAGCCTGCACACTAGTCTGTCCAGTTGCACAGATGCAAATTAATTCTGATTCCTCATAGATAAGCAGCAACTTAGATGAGCTGTGAAACCAACAGGGGAAAAACAAATTATAATCCTGTGTATTTCCACTCTGGCACTCCTAGTACTATTTCATGCAGTTCTACTCTCAGGAATTCAATGAGCTTTCTATTTTTCATTGTTTGTGCTAGGCATAAATGACCTACTTATTTTGGGAAAGCTTGACTCCTCCTAGTAACCTTTCACCTTTCTATCTATTATTTCAGGACTAATACATCTGAACAA